TTCTTTCAAGTAACTACATAAATTATTCTGGTCACATTTTAGATTAGGGTACAATTCTCACTATTAACTAATTATTAACTATGACTTTTGCCTCAATATACTCCTAATTACTGCTTATTAATACTTAGTAAAGTAGTTGTTAAGTTTAAGAAGGAATTGGGTAGGATTAAGGATTTAGAATAAGGTCTTGCAGAACAAGACATTAATATGTGTTTTTTAAGTAATAATAAACAGCCAACATCCCAGTAATATTCATGCTAATTACCAACTAGTTAATAGTGAGAACTGGACACTAAAGTGTTACCAATATTCTTATTAACTCACCAAAGTATTTAAAGTGAGAAGGGTACATAAAAAGCATGCATTTTAAGGTTAGACTTTAAATTTTGATGTTAAATCCACTATTGTAATGTATATGAATGTTCTACAGTATATACACCGTATTAAGTTCAATTACATAAGAAGTAACTGTAATTAAATTACAGAAAAAATAAGAGTAATCCCTTACTTTACTTTTTCAAGGGAAAAGTAATTAAATTACAGTAAATAATTACTTAGAAACTAATTACACCCAACGCTGGTTGTGGCATTCAAATCATTGTCTATTTGCATAAAATAAAAAAAACAATGAAAAATAATAATTTATTAGACGTTAGATGGGTTGTTTTTTGAAGTTCAAATTCAGGGTCTATTTAAATAAAAAAAATAATTTGCATAAAATAAAGTCAAAATAAACAATTAAATCAAACAAAATAATAAATAAGAATAATTAAGCAGTCATTACTCGAGTTGGTTCTTTTAAGGTGTGGCTTTCAAATTTAGTCTGCATTTAAATAAAATAAAATAAACAAATATAATTTATGTAAATAATTTTAGATTCAATTATTGCTGCCACAATGACTATAAAATGTAAACAAACATCCCTGTAAAATAATACAACCAAAACAATGTTAATTAAATAAACAGCACATATTTTTGTGAATCTGGCGCATTTTATAATGAACCCCAGTTGCATAAATAGCAATAACATTATACCAGCACACATTGTGCCTGTTGAAGTTGTGCAAGTGGTTTTGCGCCAAAAAAAAATTGTGCGCAATTAATGCCTACTTAAATTATTTATTTTGTTTTGTTTTATTCTGACTGCATTTAAATGGCAAAAACGAACCCATCTAATGACTGGTTATATTTTATTAATTTAATTTAATTAAAAAATAGCCTAAATTTTAATGCCACACCTCCAGAAACCAAGACCCACCTAAAATATTTTCACTGCTTAAAAATAATTTTACAATTTAATTGAATTTAAAATTTAATTTATTTCAAAAGTAGTCTGAATTTTAATGCACACCTTCAGAAACCAAGACCCCCATAAAATAATTTCACTGATTAATAATAATTTTACATTTACTAATTTTTAATTTACACTATTTAATTGTATTTTATGCAAAGCTAAGCAATGAAAAAATTGCCTGAAATTTAATGCCACACCTTCAGAAACCAAGTCCCACCTAATGACTGCCTAAATTATTTATATTTCTATATTTATTTTTTATTTTATGCATTTTATTTTATACTATTTTATTATATGCAATGGAAAATTTGCCTAAATTTGAATGCCACACCCTCAGAAACTATGAGATATATTTATTTATATTTTAAATTGTATGCAGCACAACACATTTAATTTAATATTTATTTAATTTTATTCAAAGCCAAGCAATGCAAATGAAGTGTAAATTTGAATACCACACCATCAGAAACCAAGGCCCAACTAAATTAAATGATTTATACTTATATTAGTTATTTTCTATATGTATTTTTTTATTTTATGCAATGCATTTTGTTTTATATCATTTCTTTTTTACATTTTATTTTGTGCAATGCCTAGTAATATCTGTGTATTTTCTCAGCGATTTCTTTAATTTTATTCAAAGCCAAGCAATGCAAATGAAGTGTAAATTTGAATACCACACCATCAGAAACCAAGGCCCAACTAAATTAAATGATTTATACTTATATTAGTTATTTTCTATATGTATTTTTTTATTTTATGCAATGCATTTTGTTTTATATCATTTCTTTTTTACATTTTATTTTGTGCAATGCAATGCCTAGTAATGTCTGTGTATTTTCTCAGCGATTTCTCCTCCATTATTTTGACTTTTGTTGAATGCCACTGGCATCCACTTTCATTATGTATTTAGACATGGTTCTCCCACACTCACACGTGGCTGGTGTGGGACAGGCCTCGCAGGGTCTGTTCCAGGCTTTGCCCACGTTATAGGCGCAGCAGCACATCTTCTTGGTCATGTTGAAGGAGAGCTCGTTCTCGCAGGTGTCGTTGAAGTTGCGGTAGCACACGCTCTTTCTCATATCTGTGAAACAAACACGGATGAGCTCAGGAAGCTGTGATTCAGTCCTAAACGCTCGCCGAGCGGCTCTTACCCATGCAGTTGTTTCCTCCGTTCACCTGCATGTACTCGGGCGGACAGACGCAGGTGTAGTTTCCCAGCGTGTTGTAGCAGGTTCCCGGACCGCAGATGCCGATGTGCGCCGTACATTCATCAATATCTGAGAGAATCCATCAGAAAATATATCAGCATTCAGACACTCGATCGACTACAACTCTTTCTGTCTCGTTGCTCCTTTTATAGACGTTTGCAGAAATATGCATGTCTTTATTACACTTATACAAATTAAATACCGTAAAATTAATTCAAGATAAGTTATATAGTGTTAATAATTTCCTTAAAAGTAAATTACACAAATTCATAAAAATACATTCATAAACATTCAAATAAAGTTAAATAAAAGTAATGCATTTAAATAAAATAAAATAAAATACATTCAAATAAAAGTTACTAAACGTTAAAAATATTAACATTCCCTAACTCGTTGCCTTTTCTAGTGCAGCTCAACCAGGTCTCGTCCCATTCGTCGATATTTGTGATATCACAAATCCCGGAAAATATGCGTTGTAGTTTTTGAAAAGTAATTTCAGTTAAATAAAATATCTCCTTTTGAAGTGGACTTTGAGCTTTGTAACTTTGCAGATCTTTTTTATGCTCAAACAGCAACATTATAGACTAACTAAATTTGAAAAAGTGAAAAAACATAATAGCACCCCTTTAAATAATTAAAAATTATAAAAAACTATAAAAATAAAAAAATATATTAAATAATAAAAAAATGACAAAGTAAATATTTTTTTTTTAGATAAACTTTTTTATGCTCAAACAGCAACATTATAGACTAACTAAATTTGAAAAAGTGAAAAAACATAATAGCACCCCTTTAAATAATTAAAAATTATAAAAAACTATAAAAAACAAAAACAAATTTAATAATATAAATTTAATATAAAACTACTTCCATAAAAAATACTTAAAATAAAATTTGTAAATAAAAAATGACAAAGTAATTATTTTTTTAGATAAAAGTAAATGAAATTATTGAATTAATATAAATTGCTCATATAAATACATTCATAAAAATAAATTAAGGTTACTAAAATTTAAATTCAATAAATGTAATTAAAAGTTAATTTAATTCTTAAAAATATTAATATTTAACTTCAGTATAAACATGTAATTGAAATGTAAATTTCAAATTAAAAATGTAATTATTTTTATTCACTTAAAAGTAAATTCCACATTAAAGTATTCAAATATGAATCTACATTGAAATTAAAATACTCATACATTTATTATAAAATTATTTAAGTTATTTTATTTTATTAAAATCACACAATTATGAATTATTAAAATAATTCATTAAAATATATGTACATTTAATTAAATCAATTTAATTATTAGAATATTGACATACATTTTTTTGTATATTTTTAAATGGAATTTAAAGTTACATTTAATTAAAAGTTAATTATTTAATTTAAATTACAAAAATAAAATATTTAATTTAAATTACATTCCTAAAATAAATCAAGGTTACTTAACATTAAAATTCAATAAATGTAAATTTGATTAAAAATGTATTAATTATTGAAATTCATTATATATTTAATATAAATATTAAATTGTTTAATTAAATGTTCATTATTGTTATATTAATATTTCAATGTTATATTTAATTAAAAGTCAATTAAACAAATAAATTAATGCATAAATAACAATTAATCAAATAATTAAATTACTAAAAATGTAATTAAATGAGCAAATTAAAATTTTAATTGCTGAATAAAATGACTAAAAACTAAAATCTCTCTGAGCTCTGTGGCTGTTGTCGGCCGGACCTTCGCAGATGCGCGTCTCCTCGTTGAGGTAGTATCCGGCGGGACACTCGCACTGGAAGCTGCCGAAGGTGTTGACGCAGTTTCCCCCCTGACACAGACCGGGCAGCTCCTGGCACTCGTCGATGTCTGAGAGCGGGACAGAGAGATTATTAATGTAGGCGTCGTTAGACTCACAGACCGCAGGTGTTGCGCTGTTGATCCGCTCTTACCCTCCAGGATGACGGTGATGGGATTGGGCCGGAAACCCTCTCCTCCGGGACACAGCGTTTTGTACTCGGCTGTGAGGAGACACACAGTTCATCATGAATACAATCAGTCTGTGCTCGTGGCAGAATGAGTGAGTGGCGTTTTCGACTGTTTTTAATTGGCTGATGCTTGTAGCGATATTTAGGGAGCAGAGTGAGCGACAGCTGTTATAATGATGATATATTTGTACAAATTACTATTAAATGACAGTAAATGAGACAAAAATTGTCTCTGGGAATTCAAGTTTTAGGTGGTTTTACTACAGCACAGGTATCGGCTGATGGGAAAATAGCTAAATATTTACAGATATATCGGTCTCTTACTTGTATTTTTGTTACACTTTACAAGAAACTAAGACTCAAATAAGTGGAAATAAAAAATAAATAATCGTATATATTCTTAATGATTTATCGGCTGATTGGAAAATAACTAAATATTTACCGATATATCGGTCTCGTACTTGTATTTTTGTTCTGAACGTCTGCGCCATTCATTAACACAGAGACACGCAGAATTCATATTTAAATATGAATCGTTTTGCGGCTTAATATTTACAAATACTAGTGGGAGTGGGCTCACGTGTGTGTGTGTGTGTGTGTGGGCGGAACTCCGCTGTGCGTGATGCAGAGAGCGCGACCATAATGTAGAGACTGAAATGACATGCCGTCGTGTAAATAAGATAAATAACATAAGGCTATTTAGTTTGCTTAATAAAAGAACAAGGTATATACCTGTTCTATAGGAAAGGTAACTTTAAATTACTTCTGTTTTGATCTGGCGCTATAGAGAAAATATAATTAAATAAAATTAACTTGACCTTCAAGGGGGGCCGCCCCCCTAATATAATGGCAGGGGAAACACTGTATATTATTAAAAATGTATCGGCTGATGGGAAAATAGCTAAATATTTACCGATATATCGGTCTCTTGCTTGTATTTTTGTTACACTCTACAAGAATCTAAAATAAGACTCAAATAAGTGGGAATAAAAAAATAATAATAATGCATTTATTTTATAATTCATTTTATATGTATAGCTCTGTAAATATTGATATAGCTATGTATCCAAATGATCACTGCTGCTTATTTTTAAATATGCTTAAGTGAAACTGAAGTTAATATTGTGTAAACTAATTTCATTTCATTTCAACTATATGTGACCACAAAACCAGTCATAAGGGTCCATGTTTTTAACCTAAGATTTATACATCAACTGAAAGCTGAACAAATAAGCTTTCCATTGATGTATGGTTTTTATAATATTCTAATGATTTTTGGCATAAAAGAAAAATTAATAATTTTGATCCATACATTGTATTGTTGGCTATTGCTACAAATATACCTGTGCTACTTATGACTGCTTTTGTGCTCCAGGGTCACATTTAATAACATTTAAGCATGTTCTTTATATACGATATGCATATCTCGTTATGTTATATATATATATATATATATCGTATATAATCGTTATATTAGCTATTTGCCACCCTGCTTTCCAGATTCATTACTGGCCATCAATACTGGCCAGTATTGTCAGTATTGAGGTAGTGTTGTTCGTACAGGTGTTGATGGGCGGGCAGAGTTCGCAGGGGTTTCCCCAGGCTCCGCCCAGCGAGCAGCAGCAGGAGGCGCGGGTCACGCCCACCCCGATCTCAGCGCTGCAGGAGATTCCTCCGTCGCCGCGGTCCAGCGTGTCCAGGAAGCAGTTCCCCACTCGCGTGTCTGACAGAGAACAGAGACAAGTCGCGTTACGTTTACAGTGATGGCGATGAATGTGGCAGACTGAAGCGGGACGGCTTCGTACCAACGCAGCCCACGCCCGACGGGTTGAGCTCGAAGTCCGGCGGACAGTTGCACAAGTAGCTACCGGGCAGATTCACGCACACGCCGTTGATGCAGTTCACAGGGTCGAAACACTCGTTAATGTCTGCCAAAGAGAGACGGATGAGAGACAAAAGTGAGAAATGACACACGGTCCTGATGAGATTAATACATCTGCATGTCTTCATTAAAATTATTCAAAATATTGTAAAATTGCATTAAATATAGGTTAAATACTTCATTCGGTTTAGTACTTTATTAAAAGTAAATTACACAACTAAATTAATTAAAAAAAAAAAACGATAAAATTAATAAGTTGCTAAACATTGAAATTCCATAAATGTGCAATTATTAAATGAAATTATTAAAAAAAATAATAATTTCACAATATTATTATAAATTGAGATATAAATTAAAATACTGATATAAATGTAAGACAATTATTTTATAAAAATTATTTTATTATTTTATTTAAACTAGATTTACACAAATAAAATGGTTTATTAAAATAGTTACTAAACATTCAAATTAAATGTAAAATGTATTCATTAAAATTTATTGCATTTATTTTATTTAAAGTCAAATTAAACAAACAAATAAACAAATCAAATAAATTTTTGAAAAAAGCGATTTAAGTCCACGATACTCAAAAATGAGTCTCTTTTGTTGTTTGCTGAAATTTATATATTTGCATGTCTTTATTAAAATACAAAATAATGTAAAATTTATTAAAAGTTCTATACTTTATTTTTATTATTTCACCAAAACTAAAAATACACAGACAAATAAATGTATTACACATAAGTAATTTAAATATGAATATACAATTATTTAATCAAAAGTGTATTATTATTATTATTATTATTATGTCAATATATAGTAAATCACATCAACAAATAAAATGTTAATTAAATAAATCAATGTTACCAAACAAGTCAACAAAACAACAAAATTCAATTTAAAATGAATTAAGACAATGAATCTAACTTGATATAAATGCAGTATATTTCATTCAAATATTAATCTAAAACGATTTACCTACAAATAATAATTTAAATTAAAAGTAAATTACACACAAATAAACTTTTATAAAATAAATTAAGGAAAAATATGTATTTGATTAAATTGTTTTTCATTTAAATTAAAATAAATATTATAAATAATTATAAAATACATTTTGAATATAAAAGGATTTAATTAAACTTTAATGATTTATTATTTGAAAGTAAACTACAAAAAATAATAAAATAATTTACAAAAATACAAGGCTACGCTCACATTTAGTGCCTCTTTTGTAGACGTTTGCTGAAATGAACACAGTCTTAAGATCTCTCCATGATGCAGTGATTCGTGTGTGTGTGTGAGTGTGAGTGTGTGTGTGTGTGTGAGTGTGTGTGTGTGTGTGTGAGAGTGTGTGTGTGTGTGAGTGTGAGTGTGTGTGTGTGTGTGTGTGTCTCACCTGTGCAGTTTCCTCCGCTGCGGTCCAGCTCGTAGCCGTAGTCGCAGATGCAGCGAAACATTCCCGGCAGGTTCTGACACGATCCGAACACGCAGATGTTCTGGAAGTTACACTCGTCGATGTCTGCCGGACAACACACACACAGCAGATCGAGTGAGTGTGTGTTGCTGTAAGAGAGTGTGTGTGTGTGTCACTGTGTGTGTGTGGGTTTACCCTGGCAGGCCTTGCTGTCTTCAGTCGGGGTGAAGCCCATCTCACACTCGCAGCGATATCCGCCCGGCGCGTTCAGACACTGACCGTTCTCACACAGATTCACGTTATCAGCGCACTCGTCCATGTCTGCAGACAAATACGCAAACCACCAACATGAAAAATATACAAAGAAACTTACAAAGAAAATATGGAAAATTAACAAAATAGAAAAATAGAAAGTAATTAAAAGTAAAAGATTACTTATAGGTATAGATTACTTTATAAGATTACTTTTTAAGTAAAGATTATTTTTAATTATTTCATTTAAAGTTAAAAAAATAAATTACACAAACACAAATAATACGATGAAATAGATTTCTGAACAATTAAATTAACGTAAAATTTCGTTCAGTTTCGTTTACGTTCAGATTACTTTATAAGTAAAGATTATTTGTATTATTTAATTTAAAGTTCAAATGAAAAGTGAATTACACAAACAAACAAATACAATAACTTCATAAAACAAAGGCTATTAAACATGAAATGAGAAGCGTGTGTTATGTGATACCGGAGCAGGAGAATCCGTCGCCGTTGAATCCCTCCTTACAGGCGCAGCGGTACGATCCCGGCGTGTTCATGCACTCGGCGTTCGGGTTACAGTTGTGTTCCTCCGTCACGCATCTCACCGATGCAGGTGCGCATGTCCATGGAGGCCATGAAGCCGTCGTAGCAGAGGCAGCGATATTCTCCGGGGATGTTCGTACACTGGCCGCCGTCGCAGATGTCCGGCGTGTCTTCACACTCGTCGATGTCTGCGGGGAGAGACAAGGCTCAGTGTGTGTGTGTAAGTGTGTGTGTGTTAGAGCTGCACGATTCTGGATAAACTGAGAATCATGATTTTTATCTCCAATAGAGATCACGATTCTCCCACGATTCTGAGCTAAACAAAATAATGGCAAAAGATGAATTGCTGCAGTCTATTTAAAAGTGTTGAATTTGAATGAAGTATTAAACATTTTAATATATGTGACCCTGGAGCACAAAAGCAGTCTTAATTAGCACGGGTTAGCCTCAAACCACAGCCAGACTCTAACGCTCACCTGGAGATCAGCGGCGCTCGTCACTCACCGACGCACTTGATCCCGTCGCCCTCCCAGCCGTCGCGGCAGCGGCACTTGAAGCTCCCCGGGACGTTGACGCAGGAGGCGTGCATGTCACAGTTATGAGCGCCGACCTCACACTCGTCGATATCTGATGCAAAACAAACACTTTACAGCAGCAGGTCTTTCGTTTGAGGTTGGACTCGATTCTTGAGGAATCCGGGTTACCTGTGCATCCGGTGGAGCCCTTCTTGACGAAGTATCCCAGCTGACAGTGGCAGATGAAGGAGCCTTTAGTGTTTTCACAGTCGCCGTGCAGACAGATGTTGGGATTCAGATCGCATTCGTTGACATCTGGACGAATACAAGACAGGACGGATCAAATTAGGACATAATACGAGCATATAAATACATCAAAGAGGCATTACACTATCATGACTAAACATCAGAATAAAAATATACAAAGAAAAAAAAAACTGGAAGTAAACAAATAAATGCAATAAAATAATTATAAGAAAATTAAATAAAATCAAAATCAAGCTTACTTTGAATAAAATTAATTATGGTAACATTAAATAATAAAAAAAATATTTAACTAAAATTAAATCATTAATTTATTATTTAAAATTAAACAAGTAAAAAAATTCATAAAAATAATTCATAAAATAAATCAAGGTTACTACGTATTCTAATTAAATAATGACAAAATTATTAAGTTCAAAGTAAATTATTACTTCGTAAATTACAAAAAAGATAAAGTAACACAAACATACAAATAAAAAATAAAATGGCAAACATTTGAATAATTCATAAATTATACAATAAATCAATATAATATAAGTTTTTTATTTAAAAGTCAAAAAATAATTAATGAAATAAAAAGGTAAATTATTATTTTTTATTTAAAAGTAAAAAATAATTAATGAAATAATTAATAAAGTTAAGGTTACTACACATTCAAATTATTAATTTAAAAGTAAATTCTTAGTTAATAAATTACAATAAAGATAAAAAGGGAAATGATACAAGCATACAAATAAAAAATAAAATGGCAAAAATGGAATGATTCGTTAAAAAAATAAATGATAAAATAAATCAAGGTAACTACACATTAGAGTTATTGAATTATTTAATTAAAAGTAAATTATTATTTTTTATTTAAAAGTTAAACAAAAAACTAATAAAATAATTCATAAAAATAATTCATAAAGTAAATCAAGGTTGCTTATCCCTTAAAATGTAATAATGTAAACTTTAATTCCAAGTAAAGCATTACTATTTTTATTATTTAATTAAAAGTAAACTAAAATGAACATTTAAAAAATATTTAAAAATCATTAAATAAATCAAGGCTACTAAACAATAAAATGAAATAATGTAAATACCTTTCAAGCCTTTTTATTACTTAAATAAAAATACAACAAACAAATTAATATAATTTATAAAAAGAAAATGAATCGAGGTTAATAAGTATTAAAACTAATGTAAAATATTGAATCAAAAGTAAATATTACTTTTTTCATTTAAATTACACAAACATAAAATAATAAAAAAATAAATCAAGGTTACTAAGGATGATGATTTAATTAATTTACTACTTATTTTTATTATTTAGATTACACAAAAAACAATTTTTAAAAATAAATTCATGAAATAAATCAAGGATACTGTAAATTAGTAAATTATATTAAATATGTTTATTATTTAAAAGTAATATATACACACACACACACAAATGTAAACATGAGTGGAGTTTCGCGTCTCACCGATGCAGGTGCGCATGTCCATGGAGGCCATGAAGCCGTCGTAGCAGAGGCAGCGATATTCTCCGGGGATGTTCGTACACTGGCCGCCGTCGCAGATGTCCGGCGTGTCTTCACACTCGTCGATGTCTGCGGGGAGAGACAAGGCTCAGTGTGTGTGTGTAAGTGTGTGTGTGTTAGAGCTGCACGATTCTGGATAAACTGAGAATCATGATTTTTATCTCCAATAGAGATCACGATTCTCCCACGATTCTGAGCTAAACAAAATAATGGCAAAAGATGAATTGCTGCAGTCTATTTAAAAGTGTTGAATTTGAATGAAGTATTAAACATTTTAATATATGTGACCCTGGAACACAAAAGCAGTCTTAAGTAGTCAAAATTATACATTTTTCTTTTATGCCAAAAATCTTTAGGATATTAAGTAAAGATCATGTTCCATGAAGGTATTTTGTAAATTTCCTACCGTAAATGTATCTAAAGTTAATTTTTGATTGGTAATATGCATTGATAAGAACTTCATTTGGACAACTTTAAAGGCGATTTTCTCAATATTTTGATTTTTTTTTGCACCCTCAGATTCCATATTTTCAAATAGTTGTATCTCGGCCAAATATTGTCCTATCCTAACAAACCATACATCAATACATCAAAAAATTTACCCTTATGACTGGTTTTGTGGTCCAGAGTCACATATAGGCCTAATATATGTATTTAAAATATAATATATTTAATACACCAATTTGTAGTGTTTAAATGATGAAAAAGTGGTCTGAATAAATGATTCAGTGACTCACTCATAAATACTTCACTTGTTTCATTACTGGATGAATCAGCGTTTTTGAACGAATCTCTTGAATGAATGATTCAATAACAAATACATTTTTTAACAGTCACTTGTCGCCACCTAGTGGCGAAACGATGCAATCGACGTTATTTGAAGCGCCAATTACTTTCGAAAGATGACTTGCTCTATTTTGATCGCTACCATAGACATCAATGTTTATATCCGAACTATAAACTTTCATCCCAGTATTTCTGAGATAATATGAATGACTGTTAGACAGAAATAATACTGTGTGGTATTATTTTAATTATTATTAATATTATTAATAGACATGGGCAAATCGTTGTCATTTAGAAATCAGATGGCGTGGGTGTTTGAATCGAAATTGCGATCTTTTAACGATTAATCGTGCAGCTCTAGTGAGTGTGTGTGTGTGTGTGTGTGTGTGTGTGTTACCGGCGCAGGTCCTGAGGTCGGGCATGAGCGCGTAACCTTCGCTGCAGCTGCATTCGTAACTTCCCTCCGAGTTCGTACAGTGAGTATCGCAGCCGCCGTTCATGATGGTGCACTCGTCGATGTCTGCGAAAATGAGAAGAGGCACGTTTATAGTTGATGAACTGATTTGGATCGTTAGTTTGATGCGTGTCGATGTCGGTGGAGGTTTCTCACCCACGCAGCCCTGTCTGTCGGGCGTCACCTGGTATCCCGTGTCGCAGGAGCACTGATAGGTGCCCACCATATTCACACACTGACCGTTCCTGCACAGGTTATCACTCAGCTGACACTCGTTCACATCTGAGGGGGAAAAAAATATATATAATAATTAACGTGCGAGATAAACTTTTTTTATAAATGAGATTAATAGTTATTTTAATTATATAATAATTTTATAATAAAAAATGATGCACAATTATACTCAGATTATTTAGTTTATCTAATGTTTTCACCACTAGAGTAAAGCACAGCAGGTATGTACCTTCACAGGCAGAAGCTTCTGCGATCAGCTGGTGACCCGGAGGACAGTCGCACTCATAACTGCCCTCGGTGTTCAGACACGTCCCGCCGCGGCACAGCAGGGGGTCGCGCTCGCACTCGTCGATGTCTGCGGGACAGAGAGAGAGACGCTGTGACACACAGGCTTTCAGAGGCCGGGGAGAACGTCCAGGGTTCGAGTCTCACCCATGCAGTTCTTCATCATCATGAAGCCGCTCTCGTAGCCCTCGAAACACTCGCACTCGAAGCTGCCGGGCGTGTTGACGCAGACGCCGTGTCCGCACAGGTCCGGAGAGATGGTGCACTCGTCGATATCTGCGGGAGCGAGGGGAACAGCGTGAGCGGTAGGGCTGGGAAAATAACTCGATGCATCGCGAATCAAGAAATGATTCAGCATCGATTTTCCGAATGCATTATGATTCTTTCTTGCGTCGATTCTGAGCTTAGTTTAGAACAGTAGATGGCGCTGCATGCTTTAGAAACAGCCGTACTCTGCTTGTTTCCAAATCCTTACACACACTTGAACCTAAAATAATCATTCATAAAATTTGAACAGGGAAGCCGCTCTCGTAGCCATCGAAGCACTCGCACTCGAAGCTGCCGGGCGTGTTGACGCAGACGCCGTGTCCGCACAGGTCCGGAGAGATGGTGCACTCGTCGATATCTGCGGGAGCGAGGGGAACAGCGTGAGCGGTAGGGCTGGGAAAATAACTCGATGCATCGCGAATCAAGAAATGATTCAGCATCGATTTTCCGAATGCATTATGATTCTTTCTTGCGTCGATTCTGAGCTTAGTTTAGAACAGTAGATGGCGCTGCATGCTTTAGAAACAGCCGTACTCTGCTTGTTTCCAAATCCTTACACACACTTGAACCTAAAATAATCATTCATAAAATTTGAACAGGTTGAAGCGAATTACAAGGGTGTTCACAGTGGGCTGTGTTTACATTCATCTCGCGTCATATAAGCATTCTGAGCCGAGGTGAAATTACATGAGCATTTGAGTGTGCAGATAAAAACTAGATTAGAGCGCCATCTGCTGTTAAAATCTAAGCTCAGAATCGATTCCAGAGAGAATCGCGATGCATTCGGAAGATCTCAGAATCAATCCACGAATCGATTCTGCATCGATTTATTGTCGCAGCCCTAGTGAGCGGCGCAGTGAAACGCATGTCGGCTTTGATTTAGTGTTTGATGTTTGACCTGTGCAGTTCCTCTCCTCCATGGTGAGGGCGAAGCCACTTTCGCAACGGCATTTGAAGCGAATGTTTAACTTGTTTTATTAATATAATATATGAGAAACTATTTTTATTAATATATTATTATAATATAAATTATATAATTGTCAGTTTTCAAAAGTACTGAAATGAATGTCAGCAATAATATCGGCATCAGCAATTTTTTAGAAGTGAAACGCATGTCGGCTTTGATTTAGTGTTTGATGTTTGACCTGTGCAGTTCCTCTCCTCCATGGTGAGGGCGAAGCCACTTTCGCAACGGCATTTGAAGCTCCCGATGGTGTTTCGGCACGTCCCGTGAGTGCACAGGCCTTTGAAGACCTTACATTCGTTCACATCTGCAGAGAAACACAGGCTCATAACTTCATTATTCAACACAGAGAAAAATCCCTAAAGAAATACTACAAATCTGACTTTCTGTGTCTGTTAGTGTTTTTGTAACCAAGAAATACTTTGGGGACAAAATTGCAGAAAAATGCACAGAAAACCAAAAATTGGAAAATAAATCAATTATTATTATAAAATGCCAAAATGTTTATTTTCTTGGCTAGATAAATAAATATAATTGTCAGTTTTCAAAAGTACTGAAATGAATGTCAGCAATAATATCGGCATCAGCAATTTTTTAGAAGTATCAGTATTAGTGAGATATTGGAAGCGGATACATTTTTCTAAAAAAAAATTCAAATGTTGTAAACATTTTAGATGTATAATATCGGCCAATATCGGTTATCGCCAAAACAACATAATTATCGGTATCATATCGGTTAAAATTTTCTATATCCGCTCATCCCTATGAATAAATGACAGACAGCTGTGACGCTGCACCTTTGTAGAAGGGTCGTCCCGTCAAGATGTCTCCTCGGTTGGCAATTCCAGGTCCCCGCGGGCAGATGGTCTTGAATTCGGGTGTGTTTAATTTGGGACAGGCCTCACAGTCCACACCCCATGCCGCTCCCACCGTACAGCAGCACATATCCACGCGATACCGGCCCGGTAACGGCTCCACGCACTCGTCCTCGTCCCATTTCATATAGCACTGCTCGCTTCGGATGTCTACAGGACACACAGACCACTGTAAATCACCACTGTTTGGTTCGCACATGTTGTTAGTTACAAAAAAAAGAACGGGTTTGTTTTGGATCAGTTGTCCTAAATCATCATAAATCAGAGGTTGACAGTTTCTGTTTTTGGTTTAAAAAAAAATTATTGGTTGTCTGCAACCAATAAATCAACTAAAGCAATAAATAATTTGAGAAACGAATATGTTTCCATACCAACACATGTTCGTCCGGCTCCGTCCAGTGTAAGTCCCTCCGGACACTCGCATCGGAACGAGCCCTGCGTGTTCACACAGCGTCCGTTTGTGCACACGCCGGGAAACACCTCGCACTCATTAATATCTAAAGACAGAGCAGAAATGGGATGCATCATCATACAAAGCTCTAGATAGATAGATAATATTGTTAATGCAGCAAAGGATTGTGGGTAACACGTACCTTCACACACAAGTCCCTTCATGCGAGCGAAACCTTTCGAACAGGCTGGATCTGTAGAAAATTCATGTCAAAAACTTTGTTTTGTGTGTTAAAAATTACGTCTTTAAAGCAAACATTGGTTCATTTAGCTTTTCATTAATATATTACATTTTGGCTTAATTAAATTTGGCTTTACATTTTTTATTTTTTTCCCCCAAACATTAAAACTTTAACTCTTTTTAATAAATATTAATTTCATTTAATATAAATAAATACAAATTAGCAATTAATATACAATATCTAAAAAACTACAATTATTTAAATATAAATCAAATAATAAGAAATAAATATAATTATTTGTTATCTAAAAGTGTCGCAATAATCTTTTATTAAATGAAATAAAAATTTATTCAATTAATATAAATTGTAAACAAATTGGCAAAACTTATATAAAATACACAAAAAATAGAATTATTATTTAATATAAATAAAATTACAATAAATAAATATAATTTAAAAGTCAATGACCTATGAAACCAAACAAGCCCCCCTTTTTTTTGTTGTTGCATTTTTAGCATTGCTTTTTGCAAATGAACTAACCAATTTTGCAGCGTTCACATGGGCTTCCCCAGGCCGCCCCCAGCGTAGAGCAGCACTCGGACTTCAGCGTGGCCCCGTTTATATTCACCTCACAGCGGCTGTCCTGGATGTTTAGCCAGCAGGTTCCTTTCATGCTGTCTGCATGGAGCAAATACGTGAAAGAGAACCAAAACAGTGTGACAATGACAAATGGACATTCTGACATTTGGAGTGGCTCCCCTGCGGAGTCATTGCATTTCTGCAGATATATAAAAACCAACTCTGATATCTAGCGGGATGGGATCACAGTGGGCATTCATGCTGAAAGCACAAACGCGTGACCTATTGCCTTCATACTCCATTAATTTCAATCAAACGACGTTCGGTTTCAGACAAAGAATGAAAACCGCCTGGCTAGAAATGAATAAAAGTAACAGAATGCTGTTCAGTTACCTCTAAAAACAAAATAAACTTTGACACGCACACCACTATTGCTAATGTTGCATCATAAACTTAAGTAGCGTTTGGTTGCGTATTTAGCAGTTGCATTTTAAACGTTTTAAAAAACACATTTAATAGCCACTAAACTATCCATAAGAGATCCACCAATCTCGCTGTTACCATGGAAACACTTCTGTTAGCCTAAAACGACTTTTCGTACTTACCTACGCAGATGGTGTTGGTAGAGTCCAACTTGCTGCCGTGGGAACATTCACAGTTGAAGGAACCGGCTACGTTGCGGCACACACCATTGATGCAGGGGTTGGAGTCGCATTCGTTGATGTCTGAACAAAAGGATGACAGGTAAGAACGAAAGATACAATGTATATAATTTTATGTGAAATTTACGAAAAAACATAAACAAACGAAAAAAAATTGTCATAAAGAAACCTTCGCAAGTCTCAGAGTCAGCTTTGAAGGAGAATCCTTTGGGGCAAGAGCAAGTGTAACTTCCGGGTGTGTTTCTACACATGCCATTGTCGCACAGTAACCGATTCACCAAACATTCGTTAATGTCTGAAAGATACGCAAAAAGTTAACAAAATTCATTAAAACACAACTACTACTCATAGGTTTCAGAGCAATGTTGTACAAGAAGTCTTTTCTACCTAAAACATAGTAGAAGCTAAGTTTTGCTACCTAATAAAAAGTTACGTAATAAAAAAATTGACGCAACTTACCCACGCAATTCTTGCCGCTAGTGTCGGACTCGTAGCCGATGTTGCAGATGCAACGGTAGCTCCCGCGCAAGTTCTCGCAGATCCCGTTTTGACAGATGTCTGGATCCAAAGCGCATTCGTTGATGTCTGCGAAGAAACCGAATCTAGTCCGTTAGCATTTAGCATTCATAAACGATTAGCAAATTAGCAAAATCAGACTTACCTCGCCCGTCTGTGGTGATTCCAGGTCCACTGCTGCACACCGCCTGAAACTCGGCTGCGAACAAACAAACGACGTTAGCCACCTGCTAGCACACATATCAAAGCTAACATATGTTGCATTAATATTAAAGTATCGTTCGCGACTGGAAGGTGTATTGTGGTTTACCAGAGTTGAACGCCGGGCAGGGTTGGCAGGGTTCTCCGAAGCCATGTTCAGGGTTGGCGCAGCAGCATTCCGACTTCGTCACTGCCCCGGGGAATGGACGCGAACACGTGCCCATCTTTATTGCGCCGTAGCAGGTGGTGCGCATGTGGGTGTCCACGCAGACGCGGCCGTCCACGTCTATGGCTAGTCCTGGCGGGCACTCGCAGCGGAAAGAGCCTTCGGTGTTCACGCAGCGTCCATTCATACAGATGCCTGAGGTCTGGCATTCGTCAATGTCTGTCAGAACGAAACGAAGAAGGAAATAGCGCAAGCCATTAGAGAATAAGGGGCCGTTCACATATCGCGTCTTTTGCGCGCTCAAGTTCGTTATTTCAAATGTAGACCCGCGGCAGGCGCGCTCATAATGGAAGCAACGCGCTAATTTTTTCCAGGCGCGACCGCGCCGCATCGAGATAAACACATTTCAACTTTTCAGAATGCCGCAAGCGCACCGTGGGTCATGTGACAAGAACCAACCAATCAGCTTCATCCTTTCCCGTAACAACATTGAAAGCTCAGCCAAGATGAAGGAACAGCTGATCATAGCTGTACAGGGATAGCCATTTTAAATAAATTTAGTAGTAGAGCTACTGCAAGCTATTTTTAGTGCTGCAAATCCATTTACACTTTGCTGAAACTTCCGCGTCTTCATGGACAGCGCAGGTCATGGTTGCTTAGCAACGGCAGCTGCCTTCGGAGCGCAAGCGCCCGAACGCTTTGGAAAAAAGCAGAAAGCGGCGCGCCTAGCGTTTTCCATGCGTTTTTAGGCGCGACATGTGAATGGCCCCTAACACGTCAATAATGAATAAAGATGTCAATGACGGTCAAAGGATGCGACAGTTTGTGACATTTTATGTCACTGACATGAAAGACTAATGTCAAACGTGTACCAATGATATACAAATATACGCAAACGCAAATGAGATTGAAAAGTTCCAATGAGAGAATGATTTTCTGAGAATAACAACTTAAATTTTGGTCGCTAAAGACATTGATAAATGACATCAGAGAACCAAAGACGTCTCAAGATGTGTTGCATTAGAATTGTAATCAAAATTAAGAAAGAAAATGGAAATGAGATTTTAACGATTCCTGCATCTTGTGACTGTTCGCTGTTGACGTCAAATATGCGCCAATGACATGCAATTATACGCAAAGCCATTTTGAAGAGCTGCACTGAAGGAACAATGTTCAGAGAATAACGACTTTGGTCATTAAAGACTTCATTGACAAATGAACACCAGATATGAACATCAAAGACACCTCAAGACAGTTCAAGTTAGTTTTGATGTCAAACTTGCAAAAACGTGCAATTGAAAATTAGATTTTAGCAGTTTAGCATTTGTTTCATTCATAAAACTATGGCAAAACTCTGAAAATGTTCAAATGTTCATCGATGCCTGTCAGAATTTAATGAAGACGAAAATATCATAAAATTGCTATAGAACAACGTGTCCATAATGAATAATGAATAAAAAACAAACGGTCACAAAACGCGACAACCGAAGACATTTGACATCACTGATATGAAAACTAGCTTGATATGTCTTGTCAATGACATCAAATGTCATTGGTTCTTGCGACTTTACGATTGATGTCGAAAATGCGCCAATGATGTGCAAATATACGCAAATGCAAGTGAGACCGAAGAGTTTTCAGAGAATAATGACTTAAATTTTGGTCATAAAATAATTCATTGACAAATGGTCACCAGATGCGAGAACCAAAGACGTCTGAAGAAATCAGATTTGACGTCAAACTTGCAAAAATGCGCAATTGAAAATGAGATTTTAGCAGTTTAGCGTTTGTTTCATGCACAACACTATTGCAAGACTCTTAAAATGTTCAAATGTTCAAGAAAATATGTTAAACCGAACAACATTAATAATAATGAATATTGAATAAATAACAAATGTTCACCAGATGCGAGAACCAAAGACGTCTGAAGAAATCAGATTTGACGTCAAACTTTTAAAAAATGCGCAAGTGGAAATTCGATTTTAGTGATTTAGCATCTGTTTCTCACCAAAAACTATTTCATGACTTCAGACACTTGGAATATAGTGTTTAGAGTCGATTTTTGTGGCACTTTTATTTTGTCCCTCAAGTATTTTGATGTTTTTAGGTTTAATAATCCCAGAAATGCTCACCAGTGCAGTAGCGTCCATTGGGCGCCAACGCAAATCCAGGTTTGCAGATACACTTGAAGCTTCCGTCTTCATTTATGCACATGCCGTTGAGGCACATGTTGGTGGTGGCACATTCATCATGATCTAGAGGACAAGAAAACACTCTCAATGTTTCTAAAAAAAAAAAAACACTATAAAACAAACGCTGGATATTCAGTTTTGTTCTTGGACTAACTGTATTCATCAAAATGATTAATTAAAAATTTTTATTTTGACCTTCTGACACCCTCCACCCGCCCCAAACTCCAAAAGAGATTTACAAAACATTTAAAACTATTTTAAGCACTTTAATGCAGGATTTATAGTATATAATCAAATAATCAGCAATCAAACAGGTGAAGCATATAATTTTGTGTGAATATTTAAAAATACTGAGTGTAAAAACATGAAAAAAAAAAAAAAAATATATATATATTAGGTGGTTCAGAGTTTGTTAAAGTTGCAGTTTAAGCGCTTACCGACGCAGTTCTTCCCGTCAGGACTGATTTCAAAGCCAGCATTACAGATGCACTGGAAACTTCCATCCGTGTTCACGCAGCGTCCGTTACGGCACATAACGCCGTTTACGATACACTCGTCAATGTCTGAAGCAACAGGAACAGATTAGTTACAGTCGTCCACTAGAGGGCGCTGGGCCGTGTGAAGTGAAGTTGTGCTGACTTTCATCATGATATTCATTATAAATGGATTATTCACAATAAACTGTGTCATTTGAGTGACACTGAGCACAGTGACATTATCTGGTAGATTTAATTCTGGTTAGTGTGTAACGCAAAATGCCTTTTAAAATATTTTTTTAAATAAAGCTGAAATAAAATAAAATATTTGATATAATATTTGATAAAATATAAATATAAATTATATAATGTTTATATATATATAAATACATTTTAATTGAAGTTAAGGTTGACATAAGCAAGTTTAAGTTGAAGTATTAAAATGACTAAAAATAAAACTGAAATAAATTAATTAAAGCTATATATAAATTTTAATGTTATAAAAATGTATAAACACATAAGATATAAATATATAAAGATATAAAGAAGATATAAACATTAAAAACCCAAATATAAGCACATAAAAATTACTAAAACAAACTAAAATGAAAAGTGAAATATACTAATAGTAATAAATAATACTAAAATAAGTAATTTATAGTAATATTAGCCATCTTGCCTCCATTCAAATTTCAATGGGTCATATAAAATTAACTAATTAGCTAAAATTAAAATATTATGCATTCACTGTTTATGTAGCATTTGTTGTATTTTAAGCGAAAAATTAAAATAACAACAAAACATGAAAAACAACAAAATGAACATACTTTACAAGTAATATATATATATGTAACTATAATTAATTTAAGCATTTTTTGCATTGTAAGCAAGAAATTGTTTAAAAGAATAAATAAAAACTAAATTAATAACAATATAAATTAAATAATAGTCTAGGCATGGAGAACAAGACTAGAAAATTATATAATATAATAATATTTTCTGCTTTAAAGTTGTTGTGTTTTTTTTTAGCCCTAAAGACTTTGGAATGTAAATATGTTAGCTTTAAACATGTTCTAGCCCTAAACTGAGAAACCACAGAAATGTTTTTAGCATATAATAGAATTATATCATGCCACAAACCAATGCAGGCCTGTTTGGTGGGAGTTCCCTGATATCCCTCGTGACATTTGCAGTGATACGATCCTTGTGTGTTGACACAGTCTCCGTTCACACACGGGTTACTGACGCACTCGTCCACATCTGAGGGTAGAAAGCAGATGTATGAGAGACACTATCAATCAATAATAGGTGCTAAAATATTGACAAAATCAGCTGTTTATAACCCTCAGCCCTGTGGAAGTCAAGCACACCGCCTACAGATGGCAGCAGAGGACATTTCAGATCATGCCAGCATTCAAGACACTGACTTTTTTTGACTGAAAGATGAATGCACAGGTTTACCGATGCACTCCCCGCGCACGTCCTGCCGGTATCCCATATTGCATTCGCAGCGGTAGCTGGTGGGCGTGGGAATGCAGCGGCCGTTCAGGCACAGGTTGGTGAAATGCTTGCACACGTCGATCGTAGTCTCGTTCAGCTGGCCTGAGCACAAACAGGAAAACACCACTGAGTACTTAGCTTCGGACGGTTAGTTGAAGGGAAAAGCTGGCAGCTGGCAGCTTCCACTCACTGATCTGAATCTTCGGGCTGCCGTTGCCTCCATTGCCGTTTACGATGGTGTGCTCGCCGCCGTAAATGTAGCCGCCGCCGTTTCCGTTCAGCGAGGGACCTTTGCCGTAGCTGCCGATGTTCAGACCGCCGTTGCCGTCGTGGATGATGCCGCCGCCGTTACCGGTGGCAAACGGAAGCCTCTGGATGCACAGTCGCCTGTATTCATCTGCAAATGAACAATAGATGCTTTTACACTATACCAGCTGCAAGGAGATGGAAATATATTGCAATTTATACAATTCCTACAATTTATAGAAGTTGCAAATTGCAGAAATTCCTATGTATATTCCTACTTTAAATGCAAACTTTTTAATAACTATAAAATAATTTTATTTTTCAATATTAATATTAAATATATAACAATGCTATTATATATGATATTATATATGTTTATTTATAATGATATTATATATATATATATTTATAATCATAATATATATTTAAATAATATTTATTTAAATGTAATAGTTTGCACTTAGGAAGTAGGAACATACGTAGAAATTACAAACAAATAATTTCATTAAATATATATAATATAAACAAAGATCTACTTATAAATCGTTCAATACATGACAAACAATGAAATAATGAGCAAACTGAGCTTTGCTTGCGCATTAAACGAAAGCAGAAAAACCAAGGATTTGGCAGCCGCTCGGCGCATGCATTCCTGCGGAAGACACACGACGGTGTCAAAGAGGAGGGAAGAGCGTAAAACACACGGGTGAGAAGAAGTGGGAATGAAAGAGAACGTTTTATTATACCGAGGGACGATCGCTTTGCTGACCTGACATGTATTTATTGTGATTTTGTGGTGAGGTACAGCATGTCTGAAGCGATTCTTCAAAGAGCGCTACATAAAGGTCAAACGCTCGCACATCTGAAGAAATTCCTCCTTTGAAATTATGTTTTTATTGTAATACAGTATGATAAGAATCAACACTCATTTCAGCATATCATGAAAGGATCATAATGTACTTTAAAATCTGTACAGTTCAGAATTACATTAAAAATACCACAAAAGATGGCATGTAATACCGTTTTCTTTCTGTATTTCCGGTTGAAAAAGGAAGTTTGGACCTTTTTTGAAGCCATGAACTATGCTACTTGCTATCGCTATTCAGAAGCAAAAGCTTCAAAAAGTTATAAAAATCTCATTTTAAATGTGAATATATGCTAAATATCTTTTAGAAGCATGCTAGCATAGCATGCTAGCATACAGATGTTAGCCTCAAAGCTAACAGACATGGACTATAACCATCAAAAAAAGCTCTAAAACTTTCCAAGAAGCTAATTTTGAATTTATATTTTTAGAAATTATATATGTTATCTTTAAGGAGTATTCTAGCATACAGATGTTAGCCGCTAACAGACGTGGACTAAAAGTTCTAAAAAGCTCATTTTAAAAGTGCATTTATACTAAATATCTCTTAAAGGTATGCTAGCATACAAATGTTAGCCTCAAAGCTAATAGATGTGGACTATAAACTTCAAAAAAACTCTAAAAGTTATAAAAAGCTAATTTTAAATGTGTATATAAACTAAATATATTTTTGAAGTATGCTAGCATACAGACATTAGCCTCAAAGCTAACAGACATGGATTAAAAAAAAAAAAAAAAAAAGTTTTAAAAAGTTAATTTTAAATGTGTATATACATTAAATATCTTTTAGGAATATGCTAGCATACGGCCATTCACCTCAAAGCTAATAGACATTGAATAAAAACTCTAAAAAGCACTGACAACGTTCAGATTTCTAGCATTAGCAATAGTAACAGTGATGGTTGACGTCTTAGCTGTAATGCTAGTGATTAGCATTAGCCCACTCACCGGATCCTCTGACGGGGCACATCTCTGGAATGTGTCCGAGTGCCCAGCAGCGGCCCGAGTCGCAGCAGCACTGCATCTTTGTGTACTGACCGGACAGTTCGCTCGCGCATCGGCCATTCGCTAAAGACGAGAAACACGTACCGACCCGATGATCTGTGAGAGAGAATGACAGAGATATCAGAAATGCTACTGTTTTTGCCTAGTATGCATACTGTAAACAAATGTGAATTTCGTCAAAATGAGCAGTATGAAATAACAGTATACTGTATCCCACAATGCAATGCGCTCAACTTGGCCTAGGTGCCAGAGACAATAGGTGCGTCCCAAATCGCGTACTTATGCACTATTCTATGACGTTTTGTGGTATAAGTAGTGCGAGTAGTGTGTTCACACTGAAAATTCCAAAAAGAATAAGTGCACTTTAAATACCCGGATGATTCCCTTAACCAAAAGAACCAAGTATGGAATTTTGGACACTTCATGCACTCAACTGTCGCAGCTTTAATTATGTTGCGAAGGGGGAGGGGCTATCAGACTTTGATTATTCATGACAAAATAACCTTATATAATTCATACTCTACATGGTTGAGTGCATAAGTACTTAGTGTATAGTGCATCATTTGGGCCACAGTTATTGACTCGAATTGCCAAAAGTGATGACATTTATACCAATTTATTAACTCCAAATACCACAAATGCTTTTCTCGCAAGTACAGTCGCACTTCGCAGGAAGTCAGGTCCATGCGTGCCCTTTTACACGGCCCCCTAGCAGGAAGTTAATTTATGAGGTGGGAGCCTGAGAAAGCCACTGGAGGACCGAAAGCATACAGGCTTGAGATGGGACGTTTCACTCAGTCAAGGTCAACGAGGGGGGCTGGTTGCGATAGGGTGCGTACACTGCGACGTTAGCGTGAGCAAACCATGCTAAAGGGGGGGTGAGAGTCGATTAACTCGGCTAATGAGCCAGCACTCTGCCATAAATCAAGTCCATGTGGAGTAATCTCAGCCAATTACGTCGGACATAAGAAACCCATCGTCTGGAGGTTGCAGGCGCACACTCCTGAACTGCAGCCTCCTGGGATCGACCCGGCCTGAGGGGGGCAGGGTGGGTTTCGCAAGCATGGTGATGGGAAACTGGCTTCAATTGGAACCAGACCTTCTCTCGAGCCTCAAAGAGAGATTTTTCGTGTTCGCATTGGGGCCCCGCGATTCATTTACGCTGATTAGTGTTAGGCTAAATGACTCCCCACGGCCTGGTTTTGCACGATACAAAGCACCAACGCAAAGATACCACAAAACTTTAGTGCTGCCTTTAGTTTCTGGCCTAAAACAATGTCTAAATAGCTTGTTGTTGGTTACAAATAGCATGGTTCGCCTTTGGAATAACATGCACAGATGAATTGCGCACAATTGTGAAAGTCAATTTTGATTTCACATCAACTTTTGAACATTCTCCCATGACATCATGCTCCCAAAACCATTTTGGCTTCCTTGTTTTGTATGTCAACATGTAGAAAATCATGCGGGCTGCCCGCATTCTCCACTACGACGGGATCCATATGTACAGTGAACATTTGGCGTAAATCCACACGGGTTTCTGGGAATAAATGAAGGCCATGTCAATGCATCATCCAGGGCCGATATCTCACGTTTCTTTATTTGCACCCGGGGACCCGACAGATCACGGGGTTACGAGAGACATATGGGGTGGCGGGAGTGAGAAACTCAAGACAGCGTTTATAAAAAGAGAAGGGAGTGTGGGAGAAACGGACAGTGAAGAGAAAAGACAGAGGTGACGCCAGAGTCAACAGTGCCTCTGCCTCACTGTACTGGAATGTTAGCAGGAGGAAATAGCATCCATGTGACTCTGTTTTCACCGTTGTCCTCTGGTGTCTGATCCCCCGAGACCTGATGAGACCGCGCGAGACCTGTTCGCCAAAAGAAACCAACAAACTCTCTCCGTAACCAAACTGAAGTCTTAAACTAAAGTCTCAAACTTTGGATTGTGTTTTTAAAGGCAGTGTGTAACGGCATCACATTTAAATTTGCCTGTGCATTTGACCTTTGTGACGTCAACAGAAAAAAAAGTAAATTGTTGCATTCATGAAATCACCAAACAAATTTCCAGATATTTGTAAAACCAAAGAATTTTCTCCATGTGTTTCCCAAAATGTTCTGATGAAAGATTACGAAAACAAACAAAAAAATTATCTTATTGAAAGTAACAATAATTGTAAGATGAGCATGAATATGACATCTTTTACCTGAACAATTTTCATTTGTACAAAGTTTCATTTGTATGTAAATTGTTTCATTCATTAAATCAACCAAATAAATTTCCAGGTAAATTATTTGCGAATCCACAATTGGTTTTACAAACATTTTTCTTAATGCCAATTTATAAAGAAATTTGTTTTCCATGTTTCCCAAAATGTTTGACGAAAGATTACAAAAACAAAAATGTTTTTCTTATTGAAAGAAACAATAATTGTAAGATAAGCATGGATATGGCATCTTTTACCTGAATGATTTTCATTTGTACAAAGTCTCATTTGAATGTAAATTGTTTCATTCATTAAATCAACCAAATAAATTTCCAGGTAAATTATTCGCGAATCCACAATTGGTTTTACAAACATTTTTCGTAATGCCAATTTATGCAGAAATTAGTTCGCCATGTGTTTCTCACAATGTTTTGATGAAAGATTATGAAAACAAATATTTTTTTCTTATTGAAAACAACAATCATAATAAGATGACCATTAATATGACATCTTTTACCCCAAATATTTTCATTTGCACAGAGATTTATTTGTATGTAAATAGTTGCATTTATGAAACAAATCAAACAAATTATCAGGTAAATTATTTGTGAAACCAAGAAGTGCGTTAAATTTTTTTTTTCTTACAAATAAACCTGTAGAAATGATTTCTGCTTGTGTTTCCCAGAATGTTTTGATGAAAGATTATGACATTTCCAAAACAAAATTTTTTTTTTGTAAAACAACAATCATTGTAAGATGAGCGTGAATATGACCTCTTTTATCCAAGGGATGTCAGACCACACAGTTTTTTTAATCAATTCCATAACGCAAGCATGTCCTTCAGCAAAACTGGATTTTTTTCGTGTCAGTGTTGTTCTGATATGCACTGAACCGTGCAACACCTGGCTGAGGTTTCCTGACAGCTGCTTCACAAACACGATCAAGTTTCTAAAAGGGTTTTACAGCCCAATACCATAAGAGAACATTCATAAGTTCTTATATTTAAATTCTTAAGATTAAATTCTTATAAAGTCTTTTAAATCCTTATGATTAAAGGTTTGTTTCATAATGCAATCTTTAAGTTTTATAATTTAAGTTTTATAATAAAATTTTAAGTTCTATTAATTAAATTCTTATGATGAACCTAACGGTTCTTCAAAGTTCTTATGATGTCTCAGAAGAACCTCTTGCTATCTTTTGCTAAAATGGACTGACAATTTTATGTTTTCTGAAAAAGAAAAACAACAAAAAGACAATGTTAACAAAAACATTAACATACCACGGGTGAATTCTGACACGAAAGGAACCAATTCAAAACCTAAAACCTAAATGATACCTAAAACGTAAATGATGCCATAGATAAAGCTTTTTAAGTTTATACAATGCTACAGAATAACTTTTAGACATCTTTTGCAAAAAATGGACTGACCATTTTATGTTTGCTACCAACAGAAATGTAAAAAAATTATCAAGATGTTAAAAAAACCTGAGCGTAAAAGTAAATCCCGACACAAAAAATGTTAAGTTTTCAAAACAAGAAACCAATTCAAATCTTAAAAAGATTCTAAGTTCTTGTGAATTCATTGAAAAAATAACCTTTTTAGGTTCATATGATGCTACACAAGAACTTTTAGCCATCTTTTGCTAAAACGGACTGAATATTAATATATATTAGTATATTCATATTTTGCTAGCAACAGTTAAAACATGAACGTTGAATGAGTAAATACTGACACTGGAAGATGTTAATTCTCAAAACAAGAAACCAATTCAAAACTTAAAAAGTTTTTGTGAAGTCACTGAATTACTTTAAGTTTATATGATGCTACAGAAGAACTTTATTGCTAAAATGAACTGACTATTTTAAGTTAGCTAACAATAGAAATTCAAAAAATTTTAGCAAGATGTTAACAAAAACACGAACATGCAATGAGCAAATCCTGACAATGAAAAATTTTAAGAGCTCAAAATAAGAAACTAATTTGAAACGTAAACGTTTCTGCGGCATTAGCAGCACCAGAACTAAATTTTTTTCCGTCAAAAAAATTCCATTAGGTGCCACTAGTGGTGCAGAAATTACACATTTGACCTGAAAAAATACGTCGCTAACTCATCCAGGTTTATTTGCATTTTTAAAACAACAGTTCTGTCCTGTTTGCAGATGAAGATACCAGCCTATATACACACAAGCACACTTGCCCGGGCTTGAAGCGATTGACCACACACAAGTTCATCCCATGAGTCATACAAGCAATATGATGCACGGCTCAGATGCGACCCAGGAGTGTAAGGTCACGGGAACACGAGTGGGCGTGCATGTGTGTTTGTGTGTGTGTGGATGAAAGAGTCTCACCGACACATCTGGAGCCGTCTGTGCTGGTAACGTATCCCCGCGGACAGGTGCACACGTAGCTGCCGGCGGTGTTGGTACATTCCCCGCCGTCACACGCTCCCGAAATGGTTGTGCATTCGTCAATATCTAAAATACAACATTTCCTGGAATTGTTAAACATTTCAAGATGCTGATTTAACAGAAATTGTAGTAGAAACCAAATAGTATAAACTCAAACGAATTTTTTTAGGAGAAACATCTAAGCAGCAACTCTCATTGGATTCTACGATGCGAGCAACAATTGAGAAAACAAAGAGATTTGTTCTTTCAAACTGCATCTTGGCTTCATCCACCTCCTCATGGTAACGTGCGGGCACAAACTCAAAGCAAAACTCGACAGATGGTAAAGAGATTTCTTGGTTTTTATTGCGTCGTTCTTGTATTTATACACACGTGCAATTTAGTAAAATTATATGCGGACGCTGTGTGTCGGGTTTGTCGCATGAGATTGAGGCGGGATGTGGGAAAAGCATGACGAGCGATTACGTGTTTAATGTGTGTGTGGAAACCGGGAGTCACGGTGTCCCACAGCAGCTGAAAACAGCCCTGCTTAAGTCATAAAAACCTCGGCAAAACAAACCCGCTCGTCAGCGGAGCCCCAGAAGCGGAACTAGACTTTACTCAGGGTGGAATGACAAATGACTGCTGGAGTGTGTTTTTGCATCCTCATATGTTAGGAAGAGAACACTTCTTTGGGTTTTTGCATTGCAGATGCAGTTGTTTCTCTGATCAAACGGTTATGTTCAGTCAAGCTCTGTATTTAAATAAAGAGAAACAGGAAAAATTATGAAGGGTGGGGTAAAAAAAAAAACCGTTTATGAAACTGTACCCCATTATTTGGGCTTCTTGACTAGCAAAAAGTAACAGACTAAAAATGGTTCAAAAATAATGGTTCTAAATAATGAGAACATTCCAAGCTCTTATGTTGCATTATAAAAACTTTTTTCAATTATGATGTCATAAAAGGGTTCTTCTATGACATAAGAACTTAAAAAGGTTTTTACAATGTTCTTACAAGTAGTGAGTTACAAAGTTCTTACAATGTTACAGAAGAAACTGTGAGTTATTATAAAGCCATCAAAAAGAACTTTTTCTTGTGACATCATAAAAAGGTTCTTCTATGACAAAATAACTTCAAAGGGTTCTTCTAAAGGTCATTGCGCACTCAGAAATTCTCGTCCGAAATTTTTGCACGTTAAAAAAAATAAATATGGATCAGGTTCGATTTTCTGCGTTTTCGCATCTGTAGCGAGCTTTGTTAACACGTTGTGTCAATCACGTTTACACACTGCCTCAGAAACTTTCATCCATCATAAAAAAAATTTGGATCAGGTTCGATTTTCTGCGTTTTCGCATCCATAGCAAGCATTTTGATAGGAAAGGATGACGAATACGGAAAAAAAAAAAAAAACATACGAAAATTTCGGACTCAGTGTGCAAGGACCTTAAGTTCTTACAGTATCACAGAAGAACCTTTTAAAGTTCTTGTAACGCCATCAAAGTACTCACAATTTCTTATGATATCATAAAGTTCTCATTATGTCATTGAAGAACCTTTTTAATTTCTTATAAAGCCATTAACCTGTTAACTGTCACTCGCCCACCGGTGGGCCCACTTGTCGTTACACGTTTTAAACATTAATATCTTAGTCTGAACCTAAAGTAATCTTGACAAACTATATATCGTTTGAAAGCTTAAAGACTCTAGTTTTCATATTTGGTGACTACGTTTTGAAATATTTTACATAGCAACTGTATTTTAATAATTTGCAAGAAGAGTACTCAGAGTCAGAGAGCGAGTTCTGACCTTTAATTTGAAATAGTGATGCACATATAAAAATAATGAAAATTCAGTAGAAACTCCATTCATTTTCATGTCAAGTGTTCAAAAGATAACATCCATTCTATTTTTGGAGAAAAAAAGGTCTAAAAGTGTTTTGAATATAAAGAAAAAAACTATAGATTCTCTATTTTTGATGCAGTGTGAACTGTAACATAGGTCTAAGGTTCTTGTCGCATGTGTTTTATGTTTTTTAGAGGTTGAATTGAAATCAAATTCTGCCATACTGCCCTTAATACTTCTGAATGTGATGTCTACTTCATAATTATTGAGAAAAGTATGGAAAAACATGTTTCAGATCACTCAAACCGTATATGGAAATGGGGGCGCCTTTATATGGTTACTAATGGCGTTTGATGGTCATCTAGTGGAAAAGCTTGGTACTGCGTCCAAACAAAATCTCACTGAAAGCTCATTTTTTGAGATATCAACCTCAAATTTGGAACACAACTTGTTCAGATTTTTGGTTTTAATTTTCTAGCAGTTTTAGAGTAAAACATGTTTTGTAAAATATATATTTTATATAAAATATAAATATTTTAATTTTTATATTTTCATAAACTTAAACTTCCATAACTTTTTTGTAATATAATTTTTATAACTTTTTTCACTTCAACAATAATCTGCCCAGTGTCGTCTTTAAAAAGAGACCAACCTTAAGTCTGTGCTCCAAAGCATTCACAATTTATAACAATTTAAGTAGGAAATGTCATTTTCAGGTCTATGCTCAAAAAGTGGAACCGACAGTTAACAGGTTAAAGAACCTTTTAACCTTTTAAGAAATCATAAAAAGGTTCTCATGACTGAAGAACTTAAATATGTTCTTCTTTCACAGAAGAACCTTTTTAAATTCTTATAACACCATTAAAGAACTTATGATAACATACATTTATTTTTAGATTGCCCTTGAAGAAGAGATGTCCTTGAAGAACCTTTTTAAGTTCTTCTAATTCCATTAAAATTTAGGTTATTCTTAAGGTTTTTCTGTGACATCGCAAGAACTTCTTAATTCATAGGAGAACCTTTTATGATGTTATAAGAACTTGAATTTTTAATGGCAATTGTAAGCACTTAAAAAGGTTCTTTAATGACATCATAAGAACTTAGACAAACCTGTTTAAAAGAACCATTTTATGATATAAAAACGTAAAAAGGTTTATACGACACGGCAAAACCTTAGAAAACCCTTTTTTAGTTCTTAAGTCATAAAAAAAACATTTTTAGAATATACATAAACACATTAAAGTTTAATGGCATTATAAGAACTTTTTGAAGTTTTCTTCAATGGAACTTAGACATTGTAAGACATTATAAGAGCCTGTTCATCACATCATAAGAACCTTAAGTTCCTATAATGAACTTTAGGTTCTTATGATATTACAAAAAGGTTCTTCTATGACTTAAGAACTTAAAAAAAAGATACATCAACATTCCATTTTAGGTTCATATGATGTCACAAAAAGGTTCTTCTGTGACCTAAGAACTTTGAAAGGTTCTTTTACAGCATCATAAGAACTTAGAAAGGTCCTTCTATGACATTGCAAGAAGTTCCAAGAAGTTTTCTTATAATGGAATGGATTATCTAAAATGAGAAGAACTATAATATAACGTTAAAAATCTCCAAAGAAGCATGTCTTCTCATCTCAGGAACTCATGACAAATCAAGAACCCTAAATCACGAAATATAAGAAGTTCTGCTAAACCCAAAGTCCTGCAGGAACCTTTATATGTGAAACTATTTTCAGCTTTCTTGAGCTACTTTCTCTGAAATGAGCTCCTGGCTTCTGTAAGTCTCCTCACCACCTCTTGAGAGTCAGAAAGTGCCCCGTAAGCAGTGCAAGGTATGCCTCGTGCTGTACCTCCTCACCCGGGGCAAGACTTTTTCCACCACACCATTGTCTTGTAATTAAGCGCCCCTCCTTTCCACCCTCCACACGGCTTCAAAGAAAACAGAGCAGCACTTTTCCAGCAAACTCCAGCCATTCAGACTCATAGTTCAGGGTGTTTTAGTGATCACTCGAGTATCTAATTTACAGACGTTTCTCTCTCGCTTGCTTGCTTGAGGAAAAGGGCTGCTTGGATGAAGCCTGCAGACAGAGGTCTGCTTCTTCTCCAAACCTTCATTTTAGTCATGGCCTTGTCATTCGGGGTCAAAATGTGATTCGGAGTTAAACTAATAACCTCAAGGGTTGGGATTCCCTCCGTCTGGCTTACTGGAAGTATGTCGAATCCTATTGGTTTACATGCTTAACTCTTTACTTATAGTTTTGAACGAGAAGTGAAAATGTAGAAACTTGCAGGAAAGTCACAAATGAGATCTCAGTTGTTTCTCCTAGACACCAATAAGAGTAAGCGTAACCGGGAGTAAGCGTTTTCACTTTTACTTAATTTTCTTGCTTCCCAGATGCATCTATGAGAAAATAAATGTGTCTCTGAATTTTTTACAGCGCTGTACTCTTCCTGTATATCAACAACTCATTTGTGCCTATTAGTATTCCTACTCAGGAATTTTATGACAAACATCTGAGACAAAGTACATACTCGAATGAAACATAATTCAAGTTAATAGAGTTATGATAAAAACAACTTCTGAGTAATGTAATTTACTACAGGTAGGACTCTTTTCATTAGAAGACTGCCTGGAAAAGCAGAATGCAAGATGTAATCAATGCTGACATTTATAAAACACATTTTAATGAAACCGCAGTGTAAAATAAAATATAATATTTGAATACATTTATTTTATAAATAGCGCAATAGTGTAAAATAAAATTATATAAAAAGAATACAATTTCAATAAATAAAATATTTATTTTATTTTAGCTGAAATAAAATGATAAATATTAGATGAAAAATTAAATTAAATTAGGAATGTTGCCTTGGTTATTAACTGCAATAAAATAAGTTGAGGTGTTAATTAAGAAAACTAGTAAATATAATTAAAATAGGAACATAGTGTTAAAATATATAGACTTATATATTAAAATATATATAATAAATATGGACTTAAAGCCAAATAGCCAAAAAATAAATAAATAAATAAATAAAATGACAATCACATAATATTAATAAAAACTAAAATTACACTGAAAATATATATAAAGGATTTTTTTTTGTTCATTAATTCATTTTAATACAATAAAATTAAATACCTTTACCTAAGAAATATTTATATGAAGAAATACTTTACTTGAGAAATATTTCATTTATTTACTTTTATTTACTATTGTACAGTTGTATTTTCAAGAACACATTTATTCAAACATTTTTGCACCTATTGTTTTACTTTATTTGTTAATACTGCCCATTTTCTCCATTTGCACTACTGTTAATTCACTTGCATTTTGCACCAGTATTGTAATGCCAAAACAGCACACTAAATTGAAATATAATACTGTGGTAGATAAGAAATAACCTCACCCATCTGGTATATAATAGCTGTGATCCACTATCTCTCTCTTTATCTCTCTATTTAGGTTTTATCTCAATCCTCCTAAAGGGCAGGCTTGGATCCAAGAACCGCAGACCCCCGCTTTACAACACGCCTGTTTGTTTTCAATCTGCATTGTTTAAATTCCACCCAAACAGCACTGTCTAATGTTAAAGACAGACCCACAGAGGAAAACGGTCAACCAACTAAACCAGAAACCAGCATAAACCATCATCTAGGCTGATTTCAGGCAATTCTCCCTGGATTCTCAGATCTGACGTCAACATTTCATGCATATCAACAACTCGGAAAGCTTACAATGTCGAAGAAGACGCCAAGTGTGTGACTCAACTTTTTTTTCCAGTTACGAGTTACGAATAGGACTGAGATCATTCTCGTGCGGTTTTCTGACAGCTTGTGTGGTTTGGACTTTGTGCAGTAAGTGACGTACCTTCGCACTTCTGGTTGGTCTCACTTTGCCGGTGACCCGCGGGACATTTGCACTCATAGGAGCCCACTGTGTTAATGCAGTTTCCTCCAGCACACAGTCCTGGGACGGCCTGACACTCGTCCACGTCTAATAAAATGAAGAGAAGAAAGGAAGTAAACACAGTTTGAACACAACTTGACCAAATGGTTTAATAAATTTTTTTTTGTTTTTATCTCATAAACAGTACTTTTGCAAAAATTATTTGCAAATTTGCAAGAATGCATAAATCCAATGCACTCAACTCGCTACCAATAAACACATTCAATTTAATTTAAAATTACATTTAAATAAAATTTTTTTACAACCTGGAAGCAATATCAACCAGGTTTTAAGCTCTATCATTACATATTATTCGATCTGACTGCAAAAGAGGTAAGAATTTTTACACAAAATTTAGCAGTTTTTTTTTTTTAACAATGAGCCTCATTTATAAAACAACGTGATTTTTGTTTAAATCGTTCATGTAAAACTAATTATATGAAGCCGTTTAAGAATGGACTTACAATTGATTTGCACAGAAATTAGTTCTCAAAGAAGCCTAAAACTGGATATAATGTAATGACAACAGTGTTGTGTACATCTAGAGCAGTGTTTATCTTGCATACTATTTCACATACTAAAAAGAGAGTCGTCAATATATGCTGTGAAGCATGCAATAAGTACACTAGTATTTAATTCTAAACATAACCTATTGTTTTTCTTTTCAGGTCAACCAACATGATTGCAGTGAAAGCAAGACCTTTCATTTCAAATTCAACGGACACAAGTTTAATTTCCAGGTTTTGGGCGTCTTTTTATGTAGCACTGAATTTTCTGTAAGGGCACAAACCTGCTACAATCCGAGCTGCAAAAGAAACCCAGCTTTGTTCGGATAGGAAATAGTAATTTCTACTACAACAGCAGCGTCTAAAGCTCTTAAATTGAGACTCATAATGGGTTTCGCTCAGTTTAAGGATCTCTTGTTGTTCACTTTATATGTATGAGAGGGTTAAACCAAAGACTATAGAAATACAAAGACGGTTCACTCCTATACTTATGAATGGGAGAAACTGCAACGCGCAATATGGCAGGATAGTCCCGCCTTCTAAATGAAAGAGCCAATCGTTGATTGGTAAAGTCATTGTATCACTGCAGCGGCCGTTAGAAGCTCCGGTTCCCATAGAAACCCGAGGCTAAACCAACCTTTGCGCATGCACAGTCATAAGCGCGTTGGAACTACGCATGCGCATTGGCTGGTCTAGCCTGAAAAATAAGCTTTTTAAAAGCTATTTGAGCATAAGAAACAACATTCATGGGGGCAGTTCATTTCAGATTTTGTTGCTGATTTGAAATATGTAATTTAATCGCGAGTTCAAGCGGGCAGTTTTTGAGATTTCAGGATTCCACCATTCGTTTAGATAGGACTTGTTCTTGTTTGAGCTGCCCGGGGGCGTTGCAAATATGGCGGCCGAGTGAACGGACTTTCCTTGAAAGGGACTTTGGTTAAACACATGTATCATCTTTGTTAGCTTACAGTCTGGGCATTTTCAGACTTCATAACACAACTACAGATCTTCGGTATTGTCTGTATTGGACAGCGCTTAGCCTAGCATTGCATTAATTTGTCTCTTTATGTTGATACGCACATCCGCAGACCTTCAACCTGTATCCAATAAGCACCAAATCATTGGTTCTGTCTACTAATATAGACCGAAAATAACTTCTTCCATTAAATGCCGTCAAACACAAAAAGACTCTGGAAAGCTCGCTGCACGGTACGCAAATCCTCCCGCCCGAATGTGCACATGTGTGTGCTTTGTACTTCAGCCAGGCAGACTTTTGCAAAAGCACTCCGTCTTTGGGCAAATCTAGGCCAGACTTGGAGCTGTCTCTTATGTTGTATATTGAAGGGAGGAAAAGAATATCTTAAGTTAAAGAGAGACATTGGGAGGGGTCGTCTTTGAGATGATGTGTGAAATCAGGGCGGCATTTGCTATTTTGGCTCGCAAAATATCTCTGAGGGCGAAGCAACTGGATTGTAAGAGCTGGTTATTTTCATTTGCGCTGCTGCAGAATCAGGGTTATTGTTGTTAACTAAATCTAAATAGTCGCCCGAATGTGCACATGTGTGTGCTTTGTACTTCAGCCAGGCAGACTTTTGCAAAAGCACTCCGTCTTTGGGCAAATCTAGGCCAGACTTGGAGCTGTCTCTTATGTTGTATATTGAAGGGAGGAAAAGAATATCTTAAATTAAAGAGAGACATTGGGAGGGGTCGTCTTTGAGATGATGTGTGAAATCAGGGCGGCATTTGCTATTCTGGCTCGCAAAATATCTCTGAGGGCGAAGCAACTGGATTGTAAGAGCTGGTTATTTTCATTTGCGCTGCTGCAGAATCAGGGTTATTGTTGTTAACTAAATCTAAATAGTATATAAAACACTGTGCAGAATCTACAGCGTCAATGAAAAAGAACTCAGAACTGAATGTAGTAACATAAATATACTGGATCCTGCAAAATAATACGTAATTCCCATCAAAATAGTTTTGCAAGAGTTTTGCTTGCCCCTATTGCAAACGAAAAATTGTATCTGACCGAAAAAAGCCTCTCCAAATCAGTGTTAATCATGCTATGGTAACCTCATCTACTGAATGTTCATGACCTAATCGAATAAGTTTATAATGTGTAACAGGCCTTGAGAACAGAATTAAATCATGTCCATCTGTGTCCCTGAAAATCAAACAAGAAGTCCAAACAATACGCCCATAATTACAAATAAATGTGACAAGCCATTATGTAATCCCATTTAAAACACTCCCAATGGAAGTCATCTAAATATTTGACTCTACCAAGAAACACAATGGGGAAGTGTCCTCTTGGACAGGGACTGGAGTGGTAGGGTTTACCCTAAACAGCCCATGACCGCTCTTAGTGTCATCTGCCGCGTCAGGCTGGTCATTAGGGCAAGAATTCGCCAGACGCTGAGAAGGAAAGAGCTGTTTGTTCAGACGCCAGACGCTCATTCTTACCTTGGCAAGCACCGGTGCGGATGTTGGGGATGAAACCTCTTCGGCAAGGGTGGGGTTGGGCAGGGCACATCTCGCATGGGTGACCCCACGCTCGCCCGATGGTGGCGCAACACAACGTCTTGGTGCAAACGATGCCGCTCAGCTGACCTTGGCACATCTGGTTGTTGACTTGTGTGAAGCATGGCCCAGTCCTGTAGTCTGATTATAGGAGAGATGAAGAGCGTTAGAGAGGTCGATAAGTATGTGAATAAAGTATTGGGATACCAGAGCTGGGTAGATTACTTAGAAATTGTAGTCCATAACTGATTCCAAATTTCATTAATTTAATTGTATTTAGTAACGTAATCCATTGCATTACACATTTTAGGTAATATAATCAGACTACTTTTAGAATACTTTTGACCTAACTCGTTTATCACATTGATTTAAATAGGATAATCTTGTACCATATTGATATAAAAATACAAATATATTCCATTCGTTGTAATTAACAACATGAAGTGCATTAAACAATATATTGCTTCAAGGTTTCCCAAACTGTAGGTGGTTTGTGAGTTTCATGAAAATCTAATAATTCATTAAATCATAATAATGTAAAATTAAATAATTTTAAAATGACATCAATCAAAATGCAACTCTTACTAAAAAATGGGAATGTTTCAGTTGTTTACCTGCATGTCATGTGACCATTAATCAACGTCAGAGAACCATGAACATGCAAATGTGATACTTAATAATTAAAATATTTAGTTTTGAATCTCAGTGGTACTTCAAGTAAATATATTGGGTGAAAGAGGTTCAGATGACAAAAAAAGTTTGGGAATCCCTGCATTACATGTAAATAAGACATAACGTGGATTTGTTCCAAAGAGATACAAATAAATGGTTAAATAACATACTGAGTAATAATTAAAATAAAAATGGATAAAAAAGTAACTGTAGTCTGATAACGAGTATTTTGAAATGTAATTTAATCTAATTGCAAGTATTTAATTTTTGGAATCTGATTACGTAATCCAGATTACATGTAATCAGTTACTACCCAGCTCTGGCTACAATAGTGAAAAAGCCTTTCATAGGGAACAATACCATCTCAAAACCATAAAAACAGCTTAAACTGGCCTAAGGTGGTGTGCTGGTCTTCGCTGGCCACTATGCTGGTTTTCACTGGTCAGGTTAGTCTGGTTTGATGGCACTTATTTTACTAGCTGGCCAATTGCTAAACTAGGATAAACCAACCAAGACCACCAAGCCAACATGGCAGCCCTCTACGAACACCTTGGCAATTGAATCGCCATTGGCTAGTAATTTTTTTAGTTTACTCGCCAGACTGATAAATATATATATATATACATATATATATATATGTATATGTATATGTTTGTTTGTAAAATGGCACAGTTTTTGTTTGTGAAATGGCACAGTTTTATAAATATCTGAAAGTACACTCTTAACATCAGTCAGTCAAGCATTATAATATGATAATCAATATTATTTAATGATAGAACTTTAGTAATTAGAATTAAAACTTGATAACCATGTATGAATGCATATTAGTCATTTTAACTGAACTTCGGACTGGCGGTGGTGCTTTTTTGGTCATTCAGTGTTTCTGTAAAAAAATTTAAATTTGGGGAAAAACTAACAAAAATACTGATAATATAATAATTATATGAATTCTACTAATAAGAACAATATAAAACGCACCAAGGATTAATGAGCTACTGGATTCATGAATATTAATCAGGTTGTGTGTGTTCGCTCTAACTGATTTGCTGAAATCAAAACAGGGACGATAATAGGTGAGCGCCAGCCAATGAGATTGCCGTTTGCGCATTAGTTCCGCCCACTACCGGAAAACCCGGCAGTTCTTAAAAGCTGAAGAATTCCAAAGGAACTCCGTTATTTTGACAGCAAAATACAACAAACAATATTGTTTATATGTAGCGCGCATAGGTAGCGCATCAATTCTCTCTCTCCCTCTCTCGCTGCGTGTGTGTGAAACAAAGCGACGGCGAGTCGTGCGCCTTCACACTAGAGTTTACGGTACGTTAAATACAGGTGCGTTGCACATCCATTCAGATGAACTGAAAAATATCACAGATCGCTTGGCGGAGAGTGAAACTGATGCGCTCAGTCAGAGAGTGTTCGGCGAGTGAAAATATATCTGAGCTAAACTTATACTTAGCCTCCAACTCACACACTGGCGAGTAAAATCTGAGAATTTATTAGCAATTGGCTAATATTAGACATCATTTAGTCGCCCAGAGTGAAGATTTAGTCGCATATGCGAGTGATTTACTCGCAATGTAGAGGGTTGCATGGGCTGAAAAAACGTTCTATAATATGACAAGACAAGCACTAACAAACATGACATGCAACCAAGAAATTACGACCACAAGAAATCACATTCATGGATAAAGAAATAAGCAGATGCATCTTCTCCATCACGCAGCTGTTTCCCATGCTGGAGGTTGGTCTGGGAATGCTCTGACAGGGATTCTCTTTCACGGTCTTCTAATAGGATAACCAGATAATCGCTAAGAAATTGCTGGGTTGCATCAATAATGGCAATTTCCATGACAAACAATCTTGTTTTTGGCTGAGGTCGAAATGTGGGATAGTGGTACTTGCACTGTTTTGACTGTTGGAGATTTGGCCAAGTGACTTCCTTTGTGCTGGTTGCCAATTGAGACGACTTACAGTAATCACATTAACGATGTTTTGAGCATCAAACAAACCAATTCGACACTGAAATAAACTGACCATTTCAGGATGCAGTCATTTCTGTTTAAAAGAACTCAAACAAATGCCCGGCTCTGCGGTATTGCATCCTCCAAGTCTTTGCTAGTGTTGTTTTGAAAACATAATTGAACGAGATCCTGCATTTGTTTGGGGTATTCTGTGAGTCGGTTTACTCTGGCGGGATATGAATGAGATCCTGACCCTGGTCGTTCCTCAAAGAAATGAACAAATCTTTCCATATCCTTCATAATATTGCATGCGAAACAAAAGCTAAATCATATATCCATACCCAAGAGGGAGGGAAATGGCACTAAAAAAGTAGGTCAAGAGGAGAAGACAAAAAGGGAAGAAGGACTATGAAGATTTCCCCTTCACGTGCCTTCAAATCCCCTTGCTGTCCCTTCTCCTCGTCCCTCATGCACTCCCCTGACCTGGCCGTTCTTCCTGGACGATTTGAGTCCAGGAATGCAGGTCCTCTCCAAGTTGAGGCGACCCACTGCGAGCATCCTATGCACATCTGGGATTGATTAATTGTGCCTGGTCAGGACTACGGTGGGACAAGCTAAGGCCCAGATGTGTCCGTGCATATCCAGTATTCCAATTCATCAGCCTCTCTATATTGCTGCTTTGAATCTTACTGTGAGTGATGATATTCATATGGGTAAAGCCTTCTGGGGCATATCTATAAAGTCAAGATCTTCTTGATTTATGGATTTGGTCATTTCCCCTGTTGGGAGCAAACAAATTCAGTGCAAAAAAATAGAGTGTCTATAAGCAAAAACAACCTTGCGACCTCTACTTTGAGGTAGCTAGGGTTGGGAATCGAACATCGATTCCAATTCCAGAATCGGATACTTGAGGTCAGAAATTGGATACTTGCTGTAAAATTTAAATTTTGATTCCACCAATCGATTCCTGTGTGCGCTTTTTTCTTTCATCTGTGAGGACCCAAACTGGCGATCTGCCAGGACCTTGCTCACTAATCTAAGCGCTCCAAAGTTTGGCTACACTTGCGATCAGAAGCCGAAAAAGCTAAGTATAATATTTGTGATAAGCTAAACAAGCTAAGCAAGAGAGATGTCACCACCAACATAACAAAGCACTTTAATTTAACAGATCGTTAAAGATCACGAACACGATACAAACACCGTGATTCTATTCCTAAATTACAATGATTCATCTGTTTCATTCCTCAACCTTTTGACGTGTGCGATCACAACGTTGTGATCATTTGGTTCGTCCGTGCTGCGTACGATCACATCAGTGTGATTTGAACATTTAAATATGCGTTCGCGCTGCCACTGACCTGAAGAAAGCAGCTGTCATGTATATGAATGAAACAGCTTCACAGTCTTTTCAACCACACACAATATAATTATTTCTGTGTTATTAATATTCAAATAATCACAGAAGTACTTGGATAAAAGTTTATAGTTCGGATATAAACTAAATGTGTACGGTAGTGATTAAAATAAGAGTAAATCACCTTTTAAAAGTAATTTGACACTTTAAATAAAGATTTATCGATTACAATGTTACACAAGTAGGTGGCGAAAATGGGCTGTTAAAATGTATTTGTCTTTGAATCATTCAAGAGATTCTTTCAAAAATGCGGATTCATCCAGTAATGAAACAAGTAAATCTTGAATTAGTCATTGAATCATTCATTCATAAATTATATGTGATTTTGTTTAGTTGTGTTTTTTCTTCAGAATCGTAAGAAAACCACAATCTCCATAAAAAAAGAAAACTCAATTTATCCAGAATCATGCAGCTCTATTTTGCACACAAACAGCTCTTAAACGAGTCCAGTTTTCATGTAGCCTGCTAATTTTTGTTCATGCTATTCAGCTACAACTAAATGTTTTGCAAAAAGAGATACAGAATAAATATGCTTGATATCATTCTTTAATCACATTGGAACCGAAACTGGGAATCGAAAAGAATCAGAGTCGATAAGCAGAATCGAAATCAGAATTGGAATTGATACATTTCAAACGATACCCAATCCTAGAGGTAGCATGCACTACTGACTAGTGCCACTAGTTGGTGAACGAGTAGTGAGTCATTTACATAAAGTCTGACTTGTCGAAGGGTCTACTACAGGGGTATCCAAACTCGGTCCAGGAGGGCCGGTGTCCTGCAGTGTTTAGATCCAACCCTAATTAAACACACCTGAAGCAGCTAATCAGGTTCTTACTAGGCATGCTAGAACTTCCAGGCAGGTGTGTTGAAGCAATTTGGAGCTAAACTCTGCAGAACACCAGCCCTACAGGACTTGCTTTGCAGTGAAGGATAATAATGTAGAAGGTACTGAGAAATGTCTGCCATAAGAACATCCTTGAAGCTGCTCAGGTCTGTCTAACAACCCTTTGATCTACAATGAAACTGGAGCCAGGGAGTCTAAAGGCTCCTGCCAACATCATTCGGAAGCTGCCACGTTGTTCAAACCTGCCAATTTCTGCACTGAACCATTTGTACGCACACACGGCCAGAAGAATAAATGCAGCGTAACACGGTAGGTCCACACTAATGACTGGACTCTTTTGAGCACTTTAATACACAAGATCGCAATCTCATAGCAAACAGATCTGCAAGGCAGAAGGGAGAACGGTTAACCTCAATGTCACATTGGCAAACTTGGCGGCAAAGCGCAGACCTTGCTTCCCAAAAGCAAGCAGACTCATATTCCGGAGAAGGGGGGATGTGTCTGTGATGCAGAGAACATTCGGAAGTAATTTTGCCTTGATTACAATTCGAGTGGCTTGTCAGATCAAAACCATTCACCTACACCCTATCCTGCCAAACGCTCACTCACCTCTACTTTCCGTTTAGTCACCACAGTGTTTCCCTGCCAGTGACATCTGCCAACTATTCAGCAGCGTACATTATCATGAATCATGAGGCAGGATGGGGAAAAACGATGCCTCAGAAGGTCGCTGATATGTGACATTCACACTTGTCCAAAGATTGAGCGGCAGCATAATTTGGCAGGAGGAATTCCAGCTTTCTTCACACTCGGCTTGGCCTGTTTTTATCATCCTCAGTGCTAATGGACTGAAAGGGAGTAGACTGTCATGAAAGACCTTCTAAGAAATGAAAAATCAGTCAGAGGGAAGTTAATCTAGTCTGGAACGTTAAGCCGCGGGGACCAACTGCAGGTTGAAACCTCAAGCGCAGCCAAAAACGTGCTTAACAGTCAATGACTGGGAATAGTCTCTTGCTTTGTTGTGACCTATTTCGGTTTAATCAGAGTACACACCAAGATAAGAAATTAGTTTTTTCACTTGGGGAGAAGCAGAAGTTCATTCACGTAGGCCTGAAGAAAAAAAGGAGGGGTAGAAAGGAAACATTAGACGGTCAAGCATTCCTGTGAAAGACTTTGAAGTTTTTCGGACGGACCAACAAACTCTTTTACTGCTCTGTGATTTACAGTACGGCTAAATAAGACAGGCAATCTCTTCGCATCTTATCTCTGTTGTACACATCCAACAAGCCAAGGTTACAACAGTTTTATGACTCCCAAATGAGTCAGTCTAGTGACACTCTGTCCTTTTCATTCATTCTCTTGTGGTTACAGGAGGATTAGTCACATTTCATTGCTCGGAAAACCCTTTTTCTCTAGAATCCAATGCACCACATAAAAAAACCCAATGGCATCTGTGCCAAAACAGTGGTAATTGATCAAACTAAAATGGACTAGTGACCCATGACCCTGAGCAACGTCAACCCTCGACTGCGAATTAATATTACGCATAGCTTTCTTCGGTGTGGGCCACGGTAAGCGATAACGCAGAGCACACGTGACTAAACGGAAAACGAATTAGATGGGCCTAACACCATTCTTACTGTTAACTTGCTTAACTTCCTCTATAAACCGTGCCGACTCACAGCTGAGCTTGCATTATGTTCGCTGAACTCTTCTGCAGACGACTGACTTTCTAAAAACGCAAGCCAACTATTGTGCTTCAGTCTTTTCAAGATCCAATTTCTTTGTTACTACCTCTTTCTTGGAAGACGGTGCTGACTTTTTTGGGAAGAACCAAATAGAGAGACTGACATCAGGCCTGCATCATCTTTTGGAAATTCATCAACTGTGTGAAATCCAGTCGCTTGATGATAAACAGGCGTGCCTGAGACTGGCTAAATAAAGAGTCTATCTCTGCTCTGTGAAATGACTAATTGCTTAGATTGACGTTTTTACAACCTACAAGCAAGGACCTTGAGGGTGAGTCTTGGGAGTTTCGGAGACGAGAGTCTGGACTGAATGGATCTGGTCGGGTGGCCCAGAAAGGAGGAAGGTGTCCCGTGGACGGCGCTCTCAGTGTGAAGAGATTGTTTGTACTAGTTCAGGCCTGGCTGTGTATACACAGCTGGGGTCTCCATTTCTTGGAGAACACCCCCCACCACCACCCTTTCTTGTCAGAAAAGTCTCCACAGAAACGTTCCCTTGTCATTTCCACCCTACTTTATCTACTGCCAGATGTCTCCCAAACTTTTCCACCTCCCTGTGTTGGGTTTTCAAAGGGAACCGGCCTACGATTGCACAAGGGGCTTCGTGAAGGGGTGGGGTTAAACAGAGAACCAGACGCAGGAGGGTGGGGTACCGAAAAAGGGCTTAGGTATTCGGTCTAGTGTGCCTGGGGCGCTTCTCTCCCACAATTCACACGGCCTGATGGGAACTGCCTTTACGGTCCTTTCAGTATGTCTTTTTCTCATAACTCCAGCCAAGGATTTCACCTCTGATAGAACGTCTCGTGCACACGTGAGGGAGGCTTTCGTCCTTTTTTCGCCCCAGATTACCGCATTGTTCCTGCTCTGAGAGATGTGGCCACAATGTAAACTGTAGCATTAATTTCACACCAGCCACAGTGAAGGGGGAAGCGCACCGCCTCAAAACTAAAGTACTGTAAATTACCCTCGGAGCATTTCTGGGTCACATTGACACAGTGTTACCACATTCTTGAAGCAGGCCTGAGACGGTAAACAAACCACACATCTTCACAGACGTCAACACAATTAAGACTTGAGAAAATATGAACTTTGGAAGCATAGCAATGGCTTACCTCTCTCGCACTGCGGCCCAGTAAAACCGTAGACACAAGCACATCTGTTGGGTCCAATACAACGCCCGCCATTTTGACATCCGCTCTCACACACAGCTACATAAAGCAAAATTGGTGAAATGAAAGAATCTGTTTTATTACATTTGATCCTACAATTAGAAAAAATACATTTTTTACAGTTGCTATATGGTTCTTTGGAATGTTTGGAAAGTTCTTGATTTTCATTAAAAGGTCTTAAGATTAGTCAATTAAAAAAAAAAAGACTTAAGACATAAATAAAACATTTAGATAAATATATAGTTGGGTTTGAATGCAATCTGAGATCATTTGTGCCTGTAAGCCAAACTCTTGTGAAATCATCTATTGTTGTCTGTGTCTGGACAGGTATGTGCTGATGTCTGGACGTTCTGAAAAGAAAGATTCACTTACGCTGTCCACAGTGACTTCCTGTGTAGCCCTTCTGACATGAGCAGGCATCTTCATTACAGACCCCTCCATTCATGCATCTGACGCTGCAGGACTGGACTGTACAGAGACAAGAGAGGTGATTAGAATTCGTCTAGAGTGCTCAATTGTGCTCAGTATAACAATGAACCATGCATGCAGCTAAAAGTAACCCTGTTATTTGGGAATAACCCAAAAAATAGATAAAATCTTATACTTTGATTAATTTCCAGGGATCAGTTCAAACTGCTTTCTAAAAAACGTGGCATTGTACACTGTGAATATTGTTGCCACTGTGATGAACTGCACTAAAAAGACTGCTGTGGGATTTAGTTTTAAACACTCAGAAATTGCAAGTAAATATCACAAATAATTACAAATAAATAGCAAGTAATACACGGAATTAAACATGAAAATTTAAAGTATTAAAACAGAAAAAGTATCTAATAATCTTTATTTGCAATTTCGAAAAATAATAATAAAAAAAAAAAAGTGAAAGTGTCTGTATACATATATTTACATCTGTGTAAATATATAAATTTTATGAAATCAATTCAAAACCGATTAAAAAATGTTCACGAAAGTTTCCATGTGGCATTTTTACGTATTAAAATGTCTATTTCATGAAAAGCAGTGTGTGAGACATTTGTACACTCGATTTTTTGCAGTTTATAGTTCTTGTATTAAATTGTTACACTGTTTAATGGAAATGAAGATTCCTGCATAAATGTAAAAATATTGAAAATACAGAAAAGCTCCAAAAAAATTCTCAGCTATATCACACAGCCTATTTATTAAGATCTTTTTTCAGAGAACATATTTTGAACATTCAACTGTACATATATATATATATATATATATATCTATATAACTGTATGTAGG